ATAAGGGGTAGAGGGGGTTCAAGTAGGCCATTGTAGAGATGAATCTAAAGCTCTAAGGCAAGTCTGGGTTACAAATGTGGAAGTCAATAATATATCAAGATGATCGAAGCCATGAGGTTGCTGAAGGGAGTGTGTCCCTGAGAAAAGAGGACAAGAGCAGGCTTCCCCCCACAAACGCTAGCATTTCAAGGAGCCTTTGGGAGAAAGAGTCAAATAAAGGAGAATGGGTAATACCACTCTGTTCGACAACTGATTTATTCCACAGCCACTTCCCTACTGTGGCGCCAGATGTCCGCCTTCTCCCCCTGCCTCCCCACTGTGTTGCCTTAACCCGAATATCTGTCCCACTCCCCAGTATTGAAAGGACAGCAAGATGTATGGGCATCCTCTTTACAGGCTCCAGGCGTGTGGGTATTCTAGAAGGGTCGCTAGTATTAGACGCATAGGCTGTTGTCTTCTTCCCAGCTGCTTTTAATGGGGATTTACAGTCAAAGCTCCCCACACTCTGCTTTTTAAAGTTAGCTGTCTAGGTTGAGATGATGATTATTATAAACATAAATGCTTTATAATGGCAGATTTGACTCAAAGGTATGCAGAGCAGTTGCCATGAGCAACACAGAAAATGAGTCCCTGTACTGAAGGGAATGTTTGGAATTAAACTTTTCAGGTTGTGTGTGAGGAACAATTATCAGGCTATTTCCCCACTAAGATCAGGTTGTGTAAGCATTGTGCGCTTTGACCTGGGTCTCGAGAAGGCCTCAGGAGAGGGCTCTGGCTCTGGAAGCATTTTTTTTTTCCATTTTCTAACAGGTGACTGATCAGTGGCTAAAGGGCTCCCCAACCCACTATATTTGGGGCTCTGGCTGGATCACTTCAGGATTTTTCACAGATGGAACGTGCTAAGGAGCCATCAGATACTTGTTTGAATGCTCAATTGCTGCGAATGAATAGTTTTCCTTTTCCTTCTCTGTCCTCCCTCATCCTTATTAACTCAGACAACTCCGTTTCCTCGCAGGCCCCTGTTTTTGTGGCAATGTTTTATCCATGTTGGTGGGTGTGTAACTGCCCCTGGCTGGCTGTCCCTTTTGATCGGCTTCTGGCTTCCTCTGGAGAAGCAGCTCAGGGAGGAGGGCCGTCTGAGCAGGCAAGCAGGCCAGGGTCACTGTGCCCAGCACACGCATCTCTTCCTGTTTGTGCTCTTCACAGAAAGCGCTCCTGTTGCATGAATTTGGCATTGCCACCTTCACAGAACCAGTAACTTGTCCAGAAAGAGGACCTATGGCGGATCGTACAAGATTCAACCTTCCCCAGCCTGGTTTTGTTCTCTTGCTGCAGCTTACGTGGAAACGACTCCTGGAGGGTGATATTGCAGCTCCCTCTGGTGTCACCTTGGCTCAGTCTCTCACAGAGCTTTTCTTCCCTTGCAGAGAATCGGGCAGGTTAAATAGGTTTCTCCATACGTAGTCAGAATGACTATGAGATGATTTTTCTCCCATTAAAAAAGAGAATCTTACATGAAGATCCAGCTCCTGTTTTGTTCCTATTTCAAAATTTGGGGAAGCTTAGAAGTCCTGTGGAAATCATTCTTAGGGAGTGGAATCTCTTTGGAAATTCCTGCAGTTCAAGCCAGCTGCCCTTTTAGGGAAGGAATGTAAATTCCTTTCAAGAAAGATAAATGAAAATGGGAGGCCCAGAAGAAGTCACTTTGCTCCCTGGTAGAGAAAATATCGGGTAAGGGAAGGAGGTCAAAACAACAACCAGCAGGAGGAACCCTGTCCATTTGTTCTGGAAAGAGTGGCTTGTTTTCTGAAATAACTTTTGGATGAGAAATTTATCATCTGAAGTCAGGTCATTTTGAGTTTCTTTTTTTAAACTAAAGGAGTCAAGTTATTAATATTTGAAAAATTGCTACTGTGTGGTACATAGAATCATATAATACTCCTACCTAAATTAACATCATCACAAGCTCCATAATAAAGATTTATGAGATACTCATCATACAAGAAATCCTATTCTGGAAATCTTCATAGGTCTGTATTTTGATTATAACTATTTTCATGGTTGTGAACCAATTAGAAGCCCTCGTATTTTGTTTCCCTCTTTCCAGACTTCTCCCTTTTCCCTTTATCCCTTAAACTAGAGTGGCCCATTATTCTTCAGCCTGTCTCTATATTGTAAGATGGAGAGATAAGGAAGTGCCACCTGCTCAGGCTGGCTACCCAGGCAGGCCATTCTCCTTCAGAGCATCCAGAATGGTTGAACAATTTATCATTTCTCCTTTGTAAATCACTTTGAACCTTTATCTCAAGTCGATCTGTGAAACTAAACATAAATTCTTGTTGTAGTGTCCATGTTCTTGTCTACTCAAACAGCTCTGGGAATCTTACGAAAGTGTGTGTGTCTGTGTGTGGGCACATACCACCCGAATACTACGATGAGAGGAGGAGTCACAATTCGAACACCTTCTCCCCTTCTAATGCCAAACCACAGAGTGGTGAGTTGTTTTCAGTGCAGCTTAGCACGGTAGAAACTACAGAGTGGTTAGACACTTTCTCCCTCTCTCAGCCTTAGATTGGGCCTGTCTTGGACCAGAACATACCGCCAGTCTGACTTGTGGCCTGCGGGGTATTGGACTTTAGCTCTTCCTCTCCAGCTGCCTCCACCAAACCCATGGTCAGAGAGCCTCACTGCTGGGGCACGTGGCTCTCAGGACTCAAAAGAAAGATGCATTTTTCTGTTTTGCTTTCTCTGTTTGAAAAAACATGAAGATTCTATAATATGACATCACTTTTAACATTTGCAGGTTGTTTATTGTCTTGGTCATTTGCAGTGTTACATTTGCGTAGCGTTGAGATTTATAGATCGACTCAACAGAGTTGATCTCATTTAATCCTCACAAGTGTCCTATGAAGTAGTAGGTTCCAGGATTTTTCTATTTTGTCTCCCTTTTTAGGGAGACTGAGACCCAGAGAAATAAGCTGGGATGCCCAAGGTTACACATTTAGTGGCAACACTAAATCCCAAACCTGCCAACCTTGGTGAGTGTCCTTTCTATAAAGTGACTGCTAGAGTTTAGCTACAGTCTCATTCAACTCAACTCAGTGGTATTTGACTGACTTTTCAAAGACTGAGTAGTTGGGACCTTTGAACTTTCATTCCAGCCAGTGATGTGATATTGAGCAGATTATTAAAATTGGAAATGGGTTTAATGGTGCCATGTCCTAGATCCAACTCCTATAGAACTAAAAGATGACTAGTGTAGGATTTTTAAATACCTGCTGACACATAAATATGAAATATTGCCAACAGTACAGTATAGAAAGAATTCATGTTGTGATTGATGAGCATATGGGAGTATATATTATACTGCATGCAGAGAGACTTTGAGAGCTTTCCAAAGATAATATTTTCTGAAAGATACATGTTTGAACTTGAACTCAGCCTAGGGTTATCTCTGTTTCAAGACCAGAAGTTTGGTTAAAGAAGAAATGCTTAGTGTGCCCTCAAATTGATGAAGTAGGTGGTATAAGATTTGAAGAGAGGAGAGAGAGAGAGAGAGATTTCTGTGGTATTGATCACTGGTGTCAAGACTCTTAAGTGTAATAAATATGTATAAATAGAGTAAATGAGAGAGGTTGTTCCTCTCCCACAGATACTCCTTTACCTTTGGTCTGGTTTTGGGCTGGGGGCGGGGGGGCTTTTTGTTCTTTGCTTTTTTTTTTTTTCATCATGAGAAGTATACTCTTTAGTCCCCATCACCCATTTCATATTTTTCTTAATATCTATTTGAATGGAAATCAGAGTATGTTCTTTCTCAGAACTGGGAGACTCATCAGCACCCTCCCAAGAAATGTACATTTTAAAAAATAAAAGTAGCTAGAAAATCCTTTTTAAAACTTGTTTCTTTTCTGTATGACTGCAGCAAACAGGCCGAGTAAACACTTCTGGGTGCCTGTTGCTGGGAGGCTTGGATCCCTGTGAAATCCGGCAGCATATTCCTGTTGAGGATAGAGAATGTGCTCCTCAGGTACAGGCTCATGGAGGAGCTGTCCTGACCGGGCTGTTATGATCTGTGAATGAGTGTTAGACACTGAGTCTTCCACGGTCAGCTTCTCCGCATCCTATCATGAGCATAACCCATTTAGGGGTGATTTTATTTACTTTTTGTTTTTTTACTTTTTCTAACCCTGGACTACTAGAAATACAGTAGTTGTTTCAGTATGTAGAACTCTTGGCTAATGTTTGTGATCAAAAAACTCTTGCATGATCCATAGCCACATAATAAAATTCTTTTGGAAAGGCCTTACTGCCTAAATATTGGCCTTTAAAAGAGGCCTGTTAAGAGAAAGCATGAAACTCAGAGTCCTGCCATTGAAATGTTGGTTGTGCTCTGACGAGGTCAGACCAGTGATTCTCTCCAACTTTTATCTCTACCTTGCCAGTCAACCGTGCATGCCTGAGTTGTGACAATGACATTCATTGAAAATTAGGAAAACCCACACTTTACCTGGCCAGTATTTGTTACTCTCCTGACCAGTGATAAAGTAAGGTATCCTGGCCCACTTTGTAGAGCTGCTGTATAAGTCTGGGCTGTAAGCCTCTACAGAAAGTAGGTAAAAAATTATTCTTGGTTGTTCTGTTTTCTAGATGACATACAAGGTATAGTAGAAAAAGCAAGCTTTGGTGTTAGACTTGGGTTTGCAAGCTTGTAGCCCTGGGCTTTTTTTTTTTTTGTAATTCTTAAATCTTCAGCCTACTTTGAAGGGTTAGCCTAAGGACTAGAGATAATATACGTAAAACAGCATGTAGACAGCCGCAAGAAATGGCTCCTGCCATTATTACTGTTACTCGGCACAGGACGACCAAGACCCTTTCTGAAGACTTCACTACAACACGGTTTGTTCCTAACCAGTTCCCTTCCAACTAATCTTCCTTTACACATCTCAGCCTGCTTATGAAAGTATGCGTTTTACGTTGTGTTATGTGCGTTCTTCTTTCAGATCTGTAAGAGCAAAGCTAAAGAATCTCAGCAGTACTATCACAGCTTGGCCGTCCGACAGAGCCTGGCTGTCCACTTTAACATCCAGCAGGACTGTGGTCATTTCCTTGCTGAGGTCCCTGATCGTCTGCTTCCCTGGGAGGATCCCGATGCCCCCGAAGAGGAAGAGGAGGAAATGGAAGAGGCTGAAGAAGAGGTGAAAGGAGAAACAGATGGGAAAAGCCCAGAGCCCTGCTCTGAAACAGAGTCATCCCAGAAAGCAAGCCAGGGGGGCCTTAGCAGGAAGCAGAGAAGCCACGTGGTGGTCATCACCAGAGAGGTTCCCTATCTCACCGTGGCTGATTTTGTGCGAGACTCTCTGGGCCAGCATGGGAAAAGCCCAGACCTGTATGAGAGGCAGGTGTGTCTGCTGCTCTTACAGCTGTGCTCTGGCCTGGAGCACCTAAAACCCTACCATGTCACTCACTGCGATCTTCGTCTGGAGAACCTGCTGCTCGTCCACTACCAGCCGGGGGCAACCAGCCAGGGCCTGGGGCCTGCAGAGTCCAGCCCCACCTCGTCTTGTTCCACCAGGCTCATAGTAAGCAACTTCTCTCAGGCCAAGCAGAAGAGCCATCTGGTGGACCCCGAGATCCTCCGCGACCAGTCCCGCCTCGCTCCAGAGATCATAACAGCCACCCAGTATAAAAAGTGTGATGAGTTCCAGACAGGCATCCTCATCTATGAGATGCTGCACCTGCCCAACCCCTTCGATGAGAACCCAGAGCTAAAGGAGAAAGAATACACTCGAGCAGACCTGCCTCGCATCCCACTCCGCTCCCCCTATTCCCGGGGCCTGCAGCAGCTGGCCAGCTGCCTCCTCAATCCCAACCCTTCCGAGCGGATCCTCATTTCAGACGCCAAAGGCATCCTCCAGTGTCTGCTCTGGGGCCCCCGGGAAGATCTCTTCCAGACTCTGACCGTCTCTCCCAGCCCGGCACAGAGGAGCGCCCTGCTCCAGAACTGGCTAGACATCAAGCGAACACTGCTCATGATCAAGTTTGCCGAGAAGTCCCTGGACAGAGAGGGTGGGGTCAGCCTGGAGGACTGGCTTTGTGCTCAGTATTTGGCTTTCACCACTCCAGACGCCCTCGGCTCTATTGTGAAAACCCTGCAACACCGCTAGTCTGTCCTGCTTGCCGCTTTTCTTTCATTTCCCCCTTCCAGTTACCTGTGCACTCCCCCTTCCCAGAGCTCCCACAGAATTCACGGAAGGGAGAGAGACCAACCTTGCATCCCTGTGCAGGAAAAACGCGTCCTCTCCGAAGGCTTACCCACGGCCCCGCACCGAGCGTGAAGCTAGGTCTGTCTTCCTGTACGGCCGTGCGGTTGCCTTCCATCGGAACACCTCTCACCCTAATTATCCCCACATGCAGTAGAAAATGAAAATGTCCATCCCGGAAAGCACAGCTCTTTTGGTATGAACTCAGTGAGCTATGTCCAGCTCCTGCGTAATTCTGAATATCACCTGTCTTTTTAACCACAAGTATTTATTCTCACTAGCAATAGACAGATCTGACCGGTCCTTACCACCATCCACTAAGCTCTCACAACAGATTGGTTTTTTTCTTTAAAGTATCAATCACTGACTCTCTTACCAGGCAGAACTGCCATCCTTAGCATCAGGCCAGTTTCGTGTCTGGGGACTCTATTCTTTGTTCCAGCAGATCGTCAGAAGACAAGGAGAGATTGCATCCCTTGGGTCATGGACGCATTTTCCCTTGTCCTCGGTAAGTGGGTGCACTGCACGGAGGGTGGCCCTGCCACTCTCCCCTCTGCTGCCACTGCCTGATTCTCCTTCACCTCGACTCTTTCCCCACTTGCCAGTGAAGTTCAGGTTTATCAGCCACTTGTGGCCCCTTCCCAAACTGACCCGAGGTGGTGTCACCAATGCCTCCGCTGGGTGCGTACAGTTCGGACCTGATAAAGAGCTGGCAGGACACCCGGAGATGAGTTTCCACACATGCAGTTCCCTAGGGCCCCCCCCCCGGGGGGTGATTGGTTGAAGGTGCGGCCTTTGATTACTGTCAGAGCTGGCGGTGTGGACGGCCAGTGCTGGTGGAGCCCGGATCCCAGCCTTACCCTGAGCCGTAATGGGCCAGCTCCCTCCTCTCAGTAGCCAGTGTTAACTAGTCCCCCAGATGCTGTAGGCATGAGCCGTGAATGACACGGGTCAGCTGAGCTCGGAGAGCTGCCCGAAAGCAGGCACGGCTGCTGGCTGGGAGGGCGGCCCGAGGCCAGGGAGGGGAGAAGGCCGCTGAGGAGACGGCCGGCCTCCTCAGAACGTGGACCTCGGCGGAGGAGGCTGCCTCCCGGTGGCCCCAGCACATTGCTCCTTAGGACTCTGCAGTGGCTCCGGAGGACGGCTCGCAGAGGCTTTGATTGCTGAGGTGGGTGCCTGCGAGCCGTGCACCGCACATGTGGTCCATGCTCCTCTCCTATGAATATATGTGCAATTTTTGTATGTATTTTTTTAGCTGTATATTACAGTGTTTATGTTGCAATTTCACCGGAAGCAAGTTCTACAGAAATCCTCCCCTTCTTCCCTTGGCACATACATATTTGCGCTGAGATGAGAGTTCCTTCCAGGGGGGCGGGGGTGGGAGGTGACGTGTGTGGGCTTGTTTTATTCAAAACTGTGAGTATCTGTTTACTTCAACCTTGAAATCCCAAGAGTTACTCAGACAGTGTGAGTGTGCGCACACACAGTGTGCACGTGCATGCTGGGAGCAGGGGCCGGGCCTCTGAGGGGGACAACCTGTGGCATGGTTGAGAGACGTGTTCCCTGCATCTTGTTGGCGAGGGGGCTCCGGGACCCCTCCCCTAGCAGTGCAGAGCTTCTGAAAGCCAAGACTGTGCAGTATTACTTAGATAGCACATTAGTGGCCTTTTGGAAATTTCTAAACTTTTAACATTTTTAACAGCCTTTTTCATATGATTCACCTAAATCAAAGAGGATCAGGAAGGGAGAAGAATGTATTTTATTGTGATCTTCTTTGTGTTTTGTTGTTGTTTTTGTTGTTGTTTTTAAGAAAACAGGCCATGTGAGGCTCCAGATGGAGGATGTCCCTGTCCTCCTGGCCAACAGTACAGGACTCCCAAGGAAGAGAGCTCATTGGCCCACAGAGAGCCTTGCCTCCTCTAGCCAGAGTACAGGGCTTGGCCCCTAGGAATGGCCACAGTCCGCTCCGGGTCCGGGTCCTGTGGCATGGCTGCGCCTCGCCTAGCGGACTGCTGTTTAGTTCACCTTAGCATAGCCCATGTGCACATAAGTTCTTGCCTAATTATACACTGAAGTAGCGGCACACAGACCACTGACCATGTCAGCCAGCACATTCCCTTAGCAGTCCTCCCCGCCCTCCCCCAGACGGTTCGCAGACTGAGACACTTTCTCAGTGTCATTCTCGTGGTGCCTTGCCCATGTAAATTTGAATGTTGACTATTTAATGAGGTTTCATATTTAATGAAGAATGTTCCCTGGTCCCTCTGTTTGTTCTCTAGGTATCCTTTTTCTTTTCTTTCTTTCTTTCTTTTTTTTTTTTTCCTGTCTGACTTGGATCCAGCCTTCTTCGTGTTAACACTATAGTATTCTAGGCACGGATACTCTCCACTGCCGCTATCTTAGAGCACTGGTAAACCGAGCACCTCCTTCGCACCAGATTTGTGTAGTACTGTTTTTATATTCAGATTTGTTAGGGGCAAAAGATGAATGCCACCTAGTCAGAAAAGGGCCTCAGGCTTCCCAGAGACAGGTGGCTAGATTAATTTTTCTCTGAGGGATGGCTGAGGAATGTGAGGTAGAGAGGGAAAAGGGTGTTACAGGTTAGAGCAGGGTAGACAAAACAACTGTATCTCTACATCAGATGGTCCTCAGAATATTTTTCCAGAATAGTGAAATTCAGTCAGTCTAATATTATCACAAATATTTTTTTACAGTTCCATTTTAATTATAGTAGGAACTTTGAATTCATTCATCAACTGGAAAGAAACCCTACCTTCAGACACAGATGGAGATAGATATAT